TTGGTACCCTCTTCGGCACCCTCTTCAGCACTGTGAACACTGTGTCTTACAAAGTCTCAGTAAGCTGCTTGAAGAAAGACCCCCAAGGAAGAAACAAGACTGAACAGAAGGTCCAGAAGTGTAAATTCGATGTCACATTCCTCTTTGCAGACTGCATGTAATGGAAAGAAGGAAAGCATGGTGTAGTGGTTACAGTATTGGACTAGAATCCTTACTCTGCCATAGAAGATTCCTGGGTGACCTTGGGACAATCTCAGCCTAAACTACCTCACAGGGTTGTTGTGAGGATAAATTAGAAGAGAATAAGCTGCTTTGGATACACACTGTGGAGAAAGGTGGGATACAAATGAAGAAAACCATAGGGTATAGCAGAAGACGGAGGGGAGATAAAAGGTTGCTTGGTTGATTGGAAAGAGAAAAGGAAGCAGGGACTGCTAGGGTAAGAAAAAGAGGGAACAGTGTGGGGAGAAGATACAGGTGAAAGTAAGGCATCCCATACAAGTACTTGAGGGTTCTCATCATTGTACAACTGGGTTTGGTGCAGCCTAGCAACCAGCACTACACAGTTTTCCCAGGGAGAGGCTACCAGAGGGAGTAAGCTGAAGATGGGGGAGGGTGGATGAATGGGAAGGAGAGAAGGAAGCAGGAAAAAAGGGAGAGATGCTAAGGGGGCTTTCAGGAAAGGAAAAGAGAAAATAGTGGGGGAATAGATGAGATGTCCCCATTAGTCCTTGAGGGTCCCCTGCTTGTAAATATCTAAAGATTGCTATGCTACCATATGTTTATATTTAAATGAATGTAACTTGCTAAGAGAATCAAGTGTAGCCTTTGTGGGGTTAATGAACCCAAGATGAAACAGACAAATAAACAAAGTCAATTTAAAAAGACAACAATTAGCTTTTGGAACACCAACTACTACATGATCATATCCACAACACATTATACTGATCAAAAGAAAACTGCTTTCCCATCACCTGAGCTTTAATAATGCAGTGATGCCACCACGCTAGGTAAGAAGGGAATGGTATCTGATATCCCCACACAGTTTGGCACTGGGTTTTCTGTAACAGCTGCAAGAAGTAGGAGAATTTGCAGGACTGAAGATCAACATGTATCCATGCCTCAGCAAAAGTTCACAAATTATTGCAGACATCAGGAAAATTTTATAGGGAAAATAACACAAAATACTCTGTTGGCCATAGTTCTACCACCCCTGCCCTGTCCAGTTTTAAGGTATTTGCAGAGCCTGTGATATGGCAGCAGCAAATACAGAACTTGCTACAAACATGCTCCACCTCATTTGGACAATTTGCGCCAAATGTTAGCAATTCAGTGTTGTTATCATACATCTAATTCTGGCCCAATGATGCAAATCAAAAAATCCACACAATGGGGCCATGTAGGAACATGAGGAGGGGAAGGGAGGGGAGGAGAGGAGAGGAGGGGGGAAGAAGGGGGGAAGAGAAGTGGTAGCAGCTTGTGGGGGAGGAAGCAAGTGAACTGAATGGTAGGAAGAAGAAAAAATGAGTTTGTGGGAGGGGATGTGGAGAAAAAATTGGGAGGAACTGGATAGAGGGAGGGCTAGTGAACTTAGGGAATGGAATCTCCCCTGTTCTAGAGACAAGCAGGAGGAGGAGAAGCAAGAGCCAGTGGGGGAGGAAATAAGATCCCCCTTTGAGTCCCCATAGATGTATCTTTTACAACCATCCTCAGAGTTAAAGAGTGCGGGCTGAGACTACTCCAGCTGCCACTGCTCTCTAATCCCTGAGGGTGGTGGCAAAGGTGGAAACAGACTGCTTTTAGGTATGCCCTGAAGAGGGCTACAAAAGTGATACTGTGCTCTCTGAGGTGTGAGCCCCCCCTTAACATCCCCAGACACTTTCTCTGTCGTCCCCCCCCAAGACTGAGAAATGAGCATGAGAGAAGACTCCAAACTGTCGTGATGAGAGGGACCAAATGAGCCCCTCTTCACAGCCAGGATGCATGGTTGCTGAGCAGAGTTGCCTCCTCCCTGTCCTGGGGGCCTGCCATTATCTGTGCTCCAGAAGCAATTCTGTTAATGCACCTGTCTACTACCTCAGCATATCTGGTGATATCAATCCCAAGCACTTCCAGTACTGTGGGTACAGTTTCTGAAGCTCACACTGATACCTCCCCCAGCTCTAGGTTTCTGAACAGCTGCCTTTAAACATGTAAAGCCTTTTTCTTCATCTTTAAAAGATGGTGGCAACAATACCTAACACAAAAAGGCATCTTTAATCTCTCTGTATGGAACACAAGAGAACATAAGAGAAGCCAATGTTGGATCAGGCCAATGGCCCATCCAGTTCAACACTCTGCCACACAGTGGCCAAAAATACCAGGTGCCATCAGGAGGTCCACCAGTGGGGCCAGGACACTAGAAGCCCTCCCACTGTTGTCCCCACCACCACCAAGAATGCAGAGCATCACTTGCCCCAGACCAAGAGTTCCTATCTATACCTTGTGGTTAATAGCTACTGGTGGACCTCTGCTCCATGTGTTTATCCAATTCCCTCTTAAAGCTGTCCATGCTTGTAGCCGCCACCACCTCCTGTGGCAGTGAATTCCATGTGTTAATCACTCTTTGGGTGAAGAAGTACTTCCTTTTATCTGTTCTAACCTGACTGCTCAGCAATTTCATGGAGTGCCCACGAGTTCTTGTATTGTGAGAAAGGGAGAAAAGTACCTCTTTCTCTACCTGCTCTATCCCATGCATAATCTTATAAACCTCTATCACGTCACCCCTCAGCCATCATTTCTCCAAACTAAAGAGCCCCAAGCGCTTTAACCTTTCTTCATAGGGAAAGTGTTCCAACCCTTTTATCCTTCTAGTTGCCCTTTTCTGCACTTTTTCCAGTGCTATAATATCCTTGCTGAGGTGTGGTGACCAGAATTGCACACAGTATTCCAAATGAGGTCGCACCATTGATTTATACAGGGGCATTATGATACTGGCTGATTTGTTTTCCCCACCACCACCTTCCTAATAATCCCCAGCATAGCATTGGCCTTCTTTATTGCAGTCACACACTGTCTCGACTCCAAGATCTCTCTCTTGGTCAGTCTCTGCCAGTTCGGACCACATCAACATGTATTTATAGTTAGGATTTTTGGTCCCAATGTGCATCACTTTGCACTTGGCCACATTTAACCCCATTTGCCACATTGACACCCACGGGCCCAGCCTTGACAGATCCCCTTGGAGTGCCCTCACAATCCTCCCTGGTTCTCATATTAGCTACCTTTCAGTCCTCAGGAATGGAGGTAGATTTTAATGAAAAATGATATATTTTTGTCAGGAGATTCCACAAGTTCACATTTGAGTTCTTTCAGAACTCTCGGATGTATGCCATCCAGGCCTGGTGATTTATCAGTTTTTAAGTTGTCTATCAGTCATAGGACCTTCTCTCTCATCACCTCAATCTGACTCAAGTCTTTCAACGCCCCTCCCGAAATCAGCAGTTCTGGAGTGGGCAAGCACTTCTCATCTTCCACAGTGAAGACAGAGGCAAAAAATGCATTCAGCTTCTCAGACATTTTCCTATCGTCCTTCAGTAATCCTTTTACCTCTTGGTCACCCAAGGGACTCACTGCCTCCTTTGCTGGTTGCCTGCTTCTCATGTATTTGAAGAAAGTTTTTTTGTTGGTCTTTATGTTTATTGCAATATGCTCCTCATATTCCCTTTTTGCCTGCTTGATCATAGACTTGCATTTTATCTGCCACAGCCCGTTCCCTTTTATCAACCTCACTGAGACTAGCTTTCCACTGCTTAAAGGAATCCTTCTTACCTTTTACAGCTTACCCATTCAGGCCTTTTTCTATGCCTATCTGTGTCTTTCCTAGCCTGCAGTATATATTTTATCTGAGCTTCTAGGATTGCAGTTTTAAATAGCCTCCAAGCTTCCCCAATGGTTTTGACCCTTTTTACTTTTCCTTTCACTTTCCTCTTCACATGTCCCATCATATCAGAGAAGTTACCCCTTTTAAAGTTAAAAGTGGTTGTGTCGGTCATTTTGGGCAACTCCCTATTTATACAAATGCTGAACTCAATAACATTATGGTCACTGTTCCCAAGTGGTGCAATCACTTTTACATCTCACACCAGGTCCTGGAAGCTGTCTTCACATTGGAAACTATTAATATAAGGTAGCTTGTTCTCCCTTAGCCTCTAAAACAAGATTTTGAAAAAGAAATCTCCTGGTCTCTCACAGTAGTGGTCTGTCTTATGGCAGCAGATACTATAGGTTAAAAAAAATTCCACGGGGTAGCCATTCTAGTTTGTCATAGGAAAATAAGAGGAAGTCTAACTAATGTTAGTCTCTGAATATTTTGCCCTTGACTTAAAACATCAGATTCCATTGTTCACTACATGATGACAGCCACAAATATTTTGGGATTCCTTGCTTCTGTGTATTGTATATTCTGCACAATTCTCCAGGACCATGGAATGGAAGTGGGCACAGAATTCAGCTTCTTTGAGAATCTCAGTTTCTAGTTTAAAACAGCAAGATTTTAACCCATATGGATATGAAGATATGCTGAGAATATGTGGCAATACCTGAAGAAATCTCAGAAAGCAAGAATGGGGCTAAATTATATTTTCAGTGGTAGAAAATGGTGCTTGCCCCTTCCTTGACTACCAGAACCAGAATAAATTATGCAAACCAGCAAGGACTGAAGAATACATTATGCAAAATATTTAAAAATGCAATGTGATCCATTTTTACCATTTATATGGGTCCCAGAATTCAGATTCTTTGTATGTGCAGCATTTGCCTGGGTATGAAATTAAATTGTTTTTAAATATGGATAAACCCAGCCCTGCCTACACATTCACAACTCCATACAGAAGTGACCCTTCACATTTGGGAAATGATTCCTTGCCTGTTGCTCCCATTTAAGAAACTATTTGTTTAGCACTCTCAATTACATGGTTCTACACCAAACGAATTAACTAAAATGGAACACCAAAGCTTACTTCTGCAGGATGGATCTCTTAATGATAATTTCTTCATCCAAATCCGCTTCATTGGCCATGAAGAGCAACCTCTTTCCCATGCCATCCACGCCAATAAAATCACGTTGCTCCACTAAAACAGAAAGTTATAACACACATATTTAAAAACAATGATTTTACAGCCCTGTTTTAATGCAATCTAACGAGAGTAGGGCTAGTCAAATAATCTGCCAAGAAAATCGCAGATTAAAAGGTCAATGACGTTGAATGCATCCCTAAAAATTCTCAAACGCATTCAGAGGAGGAACCAAAGAAGGATGAAGAAATGTTATGTGGGGCTGCTGCAGCTACCTGTACCTAGAAGTGGCAGAGGAAAAATGCAAGCCCCAGAACAGCTAGTGAACTAAAAACAGAGCACTTCATATGCCTTACACTGTATCAGTATTATTGCTCTACACCTGCATTCTTAAGAATCAAGCATACTGAGGAAGTAATGGCTAATTGCTCCTCTTATCTCACTGAAAAATCAGATTATTTTTTCCAAACCTCTGTTGGTAGCTGTGGAAAGGCTTATTTTTTCATACAAGAATATTCATTAACAGCAGAATCCTGGACATATATGCTGGAGTTTCCAGAAGAAAATGCCAAAACCTTGAAAGTGGGAGTTCCGACACACACTTAAATTCTGCACTTTACAGTTAACCCGGCTCTCTGACGGATTGCACTTGCTCCATGCCACAGCAAACAGGAAGATATAAGTAATGGAGCTAGCAGCAGTTTAGTTCAGGCGGGCCTGTGTTTACTCTCAGCCCAAAGAGGAGAGGAGAGGAATCTAAGCAAAAGGAGCTCAGAAACAGGCAATATAAGCATCATAAACTAAGCTATCATAGTGGACAATAATTATCTTTTAAACAACATCGAGTATAACATCTGGTATTTAATAATTTCTTTCTTCCAGTTCTATAATCAGTCTCTGGTTCTTTTATGTACTACTATCTTGATGTTAAGTTCCATTAAACGTGCTGTATAAATTTGCTGTGTATTTTTGCATTATTTTTGTAATATTTACAAAATAATTAACAATGTACTAAGAACACATTGTTGCTGGAAAACACACAAAGAAGCTATCTGGGATACCATTTCAGTTCGCATATTCTGCCTGAATGTCATGAAAACTGTAAAATTGTGTCACAGCTGCCAATTTCTGTGGTACTGTTGGCTGTCAGAATCTGAGAGCGTCTGCTTACCCAGCTTTTTCTTCCCTTTTTGACCTGGTACCAGCTCTGTAGGTTCACAGGCTTTCTTCATCAGCATGGCCAGTGTGGCATCATGAGCCCGGAATAAGTCCACTACTTCATGAAGAGCAACATCTGTGATAAGATCACAGCTTAGCACCAACACATCTGTCTGTCAAACAGAAAAGAACATATATATGAATAACATACACACTCTTCAGAAATGCATATGAGATGAAGTCAATATGGCAAGGCTTTCGAACAGCTATTATAAGGCATTCTTATCCAAGATACAGGTCATTTCCTAAGCCAGTTTGGTGTAGTGGTTAAGTGCGCGGACTCTAATCTGGGAGAACCGGGTTTGATTCTTCACTCCTCCACTTGCACCTGGCTGGATGACCTTGGGCAAGCCATAGTTCTGATAAGAGCTGTTCTTGAAAAAAGAGCAGTTTCTGTCAAGAGCTCTCTCAGCCCCACCTACCTCACAGGGTGTCTGTTGTGGGGAGGGGAAGGGAAAGGAGTTTGTAAGCTGCTCTGAGACACCTTTGGGTAGTGAAGGACGGGCTATAAATCCTATCTCTTCTTCTTCTCTTCACTAAGACTTTTTCCTGTTCTGTTAATACAGTCTCTAGAATAGGTCAAATCAACAGAACAGTTAAGCTTTGTGTTTTGAGAGTATTAGCATTGTACACAATCTTCCATTGCAGAAATGCCGACATTATTTTAACCATCCTCATATCTTATACTAATGAGCATAATGTATCAGCAGTATGAAGATGTAACAAATCCACCCTTTTACTTCTCCTGCAGCCTAATGTTACTGAGTGACCTCAGAGGGGGGGGGCAATATTATATGGTTTAGGAACACCTAATACTATAATGGCTGCAGAAGCTAAGCCTGGGTAGAGCTCATCATAAACCTGAATGGGAGGCCTCTAGGAAAATCATGTAAAACTAACATATAAGTGTGTATTTATTTATTTATTAAAAAGCAGTCTGCCCCTTTCACTGTCATACGAAAGAATGTCTTCTCTACACCACATTGACCTAAGAGTCACTGAAAACCAGTGCAATGTAGTGATGATGGGGTATTACAAGGGGGGGGTCCATTCTCAATTTTTACAACAGAAAAATTGAAAACTGTGGAGAGCTCTGAAGAAAACCCATGTGAAATATTCTCTCTTCTGGAATGAGTGAAATGCTTTTTAAGACAGGATATTATGCAAAATGTGTATCATAATGATAATTCCTATGTATACTGTAGGCATAGAAAATAGACTGCATCGAATCACTACACTAAGCAAAGTCTGAAGTCTTTCTCCAGTCATATGAGTCTTCCTTCAACTCAAGTGGCTTTTTCTCTATTGAAAGTCATTTAAATGGGAGGAAACTAGAGGAACTTCCGCCAGCCTAAAGTAGGATACCACCCAATGTTCATTGTTAAATGTAACTAATATTGTCTACAGTTAATATGCTATAATAATGTATATGATGATAATACACTATTGAAGAATTCCGTGTTTTCCACATTATAAAGTTTAACCTTCAAACATGGCAGTACAGGAGCACTGGGTGGGAGAGATGTGTTGTATGTTTCAGCATATCACAAGGCTCCTTGCTGCACATACAGCTGGCAGGAGGGTAAACAAAATAAGAAAGCCTTATAAATAATACCAGTCTCAGTATCATTTCCATCGAGAAGCTGCTCATCAAGGGCATGGGTACACACCACTGTCATCAACATTCTGCTCCCCTTTCCCAGGAAGCTACCCAACTTTCTTAAACATATTAATGGTTGACTAGACACTATTTGCTAGTGTTTGCTAGTGATGGGTGAACTTGAATTTACACTGTTAAAAGCCACATGCACTACAACAGAAAAACAGGTTGCTTACCAGTAACTGGTGATCTTCGAGTGGTCATCTGTGCATTCACACCAATGGGATCTAGTGCGCCTGCACTGGATCTGCCGGTGCCGTAGCAAGCTCTCAAAAGGATTTTCGTGCCTAGTCCTACTGAGCATGCCCAGGAGCCCCAGTGAGCATGCCCAGAAGGACAGGCACGGACATCCCGCCAGTTCCTACCAACCGCCGCGTATCAGCTCCTAATAAAACAGGTAGAAGAAGACAGCAGCGGGGCAGGAGGGCGGGTGGTGTGAATGCACAGATGACCACTCGAAGATCACCAGTTACTGGTAAGCAACCTGTTTATCTTCTTCGTGGTCTCTGTGCTTCACACCAATGGGAGATTAGCGAGCAGTAGCCTACCTGGAGGTGGGTGCTGTCAGGTGTTTACTGCTTAGCCGATGATAAAACCTGACGTCCCAGACTGTCACTGGTGGACTGGCGGTCTAGGGCGTAGTGCCTGATAAAGGTATTAGGCGTGGCCCAGGTAGCGGCTCTGCAAATGTCTTGCAGCTGTAAGAGGAGGGCCCGCTTCACATCCAAATTATGCATCAGCCTGTCTTCCTGTGATTTCGGGTCAGAGTAGAAATCAGGGAGGAAAACTTCAGACTGCAAATGGAATTCGGAGACCACCTTGGGTAAGAAAAAAAGTCTGGCACCAGACGGACCCCATCCGGGAGGAAGGTTATAAGTATGGTGAGTCATGTCGGAAAGCCAGAAGTTCACCCACTCATCTGGCGGAGGTAATGGCA